TGCGTTACTCTTTCCTCCTAGTTGTAGGACTTCCACTCAGCCAGCGTTCCTGTGGGTCTGGGTGATGTCCGTTCCGTCTTTTAGTTTCACTTTTGAAATGGTTGTTCGAGGCGGCAAACTCCGGCGTTAACCTATGCCGCCATCTTGGTTCTCCTCCTTTTCTATTTCTGAAAAATTTAATACAAATATGTTTTTGTAACTGTGACATATAAAAAATATATCAGGTTTTTAAAAATTCTTTATTGTTTAAAGTATTACATATAGTATTACATATGTCTCCTCTTTCCCCCATTGTCCTCTTCCCGGCCACCCCCATCCTATTCTATCAGTTTTGGAAAATATGGACCCCTTTTATACCTTTAAGAATCCAAGAGAAGTCACGTTAACATTTATTTACCTTTGTATCCCTCAGAGGAATATTGGGCATCTCTGCATGACTCCACTTTCATGGAACTGGTCCAGATGTTTAAAAGAGCCATCACTGCTCAACTGCGTTACTGGGCTGAAGATGCTGAAAGTAACAGTCACATTAAAGTTCTCCTAGAAATGTTGAAAAAGCTGCACAGGGTAAGGGTTTCTCCTGGCCTGAATCTTAAACAGACTCTTGAAACATGAAGTTTATATTGCTGTTTTTTAAATTTTGTTTTTTGTGAATTAAGCCATGCATATAAAAGAGTGTATATAGTATCAATGAACAGTTTGAAGAAAACTAATAAAACAGACATCAGTGTAACTACTGCCCATGTTGGAAAAGAAAGTATTTCCAGTACTTTTGAAATGCCTGTGTATTTTTCTCTCAGATTGCATCCCCTCACCTCTTGGAGATACCCATGATCCTGGGCTTTGGGTTCATCCTTCCCTTACTCTTTATTGTTTTACAACAATAGGTAGATAGGTGATAGATAGATAGATAGATAGATAGATAGATAGATAGATAGATAGATAGATGTATGTATGTACGCTGTTTAATTTTGCTGTTTTTTGAAATTTACATGAGTGGAATACATGTGTCTTACACATTTGTTCTACAACTTCTTCCAGATTAGTACTCATGGCTGTATTCATTTTCATTTTTACATTATAGTCTGTTCTGTGACTGTACCATGATTATTCATTCCAGTACTGATGGATATATGTGCTGTTTGCAGTTCTTTTGGAGGGGGAGGGGTTCTCTATGAGAAAACCTGTTGCTATAAACATTCCTGTGTGTATGTCTTGGTGTTCATGTATCAAGAGTTGGTTTTTAGTTTCCATACCTGATTCTGGAAGTGATCGCTTGTAGGATATGTGTGCTCTTTACACAGCCAAAGAGGGGCTTTTAGAAGACCTCCTCAGTATTAGTCATTCAGTCCAGGGCTGTGCCCATCCCGGTCAAATACTGATGGTCACTCACGTCCAAAGCATCTAATGTCGTTATCAGTGTCTTCGCTGACTGATGTTAGCACTGAGCCACGGTGTTCATAGGTACTTCATAATATTCCCTGGTCACATCGGGATAGAAAACTGAAAATTCCCCCACAAATTTGGAGGAAATGTTCTATTTATGCCTTGCCAGAGGGAACATCTATAAATGGTATATTGTTAATCTCTGAAGAACATGACATGCAATATTGGGCCCCAGAGTATTTTGGATTTATATTGCACTGTATTTTTCTTTGGACTTAAAGTTTCTTAAAACTATTTTTTTTCTATGAATTAAAAGTAGCTAGAAGTTTCCAGGCTGGCATGGCTCAATTGAGCATTGACCTATGAACCAGGAGGTCACAGTTCTATTCCCAGTCAGGGGACATGCCCGGGTTGCGGGCTCAGTTCCCAGTGGGGGGCATGCAGGAGGCAGCCGATAGATGATTCTCTCACATCATTGATGTTTCTACCTCTCTCTCCTTCTCCTTTCCTCTCTGAAATCAAGAAAAATATATTTAAAAATAAATAAAAGTAACTAGAAATTTATCATCTTAGTTATCAATTTCTACTACGAAATGTTAGACATTCTTTATGTTCCTGGACATGTGGGGTTTTGGCAGTGGAGGAATTGGGTAGAACTTTATTCTCTGGTCATGAAGAGTGTTTACTAGTAATTTGCATTTATCCTGAGAATCTAATAGCCATTAAGCAAAATTATCTTTATATAGAAAACTTTCTCATTAGTTATATTTTATTTAAGGTAAACCAGACTAAATTTCAACTGCCTGAAAATATTTTCCAAGTAAATGAACTCGCGCACTGCCTTGATTTTTATGAAGATGCACGTAGAAGGAACTCTTGGAAAAAGAACTTAGTAAGTATGGCATGTATAAAGAGGAAATTGGATCATCAATGAGTTAATATAGGCATTTGTGCTGTAACTTTCTACATGAGTGTCCAAAATCTTTGCACTCTGCAAAATTGCCCAATAGAAATAGCAGGGCTTATTGGGAAAAGCAAAACAGACCCCTCAAAACCTGTGCAGTTTTGGAGCCAGAGCACTAACAGAAAAGTGGTTGCTACCTGGGCAGGTAGCTTGGGTCTACCAGACAAGCATCATGTGGAGCATGCCATGCAAATATGAAAAACACACAAAAAACGAAAGGGTGGATCTCTACCTACACCCTAATTAGAGGACTGGTGGGCTGTTTACTTAATACATCTGAACTCATTTACATTTCAGAAGTGTGGGTGGCAGTAGAACAGACTCTGGGAAAGTGCCCAGAATTTACAGTTAATTGGTAAATTAAATGAGCACTGAAAATACCAGATCTATATACCTTTCATTGGTACATGTAAAACATTTTCTTAGAATTTTATGTATCTATGTACTACCGCCGAGCAATTTGAATTACCGTGGCCGTGACTACTGAGGCCACCGATCAGGGGTTAAAGGCTACGAGGTCAGACGTAAGATAGCGTTGTCCTTTCACTTATCAGAATTGTTCTTATTTCCATTTTTAGGACACTGCAGTAGACATCCAGCATCCTGTCATATTCAGTCATTTTCCATTTGTCTTTAATATTCTGTCAAAAATTAAACTACTACGTGCAGACTCGCTTTTAAAAATGGAGGTACGCATGCCGATTTCTCTGTCTTTATTAACAAATAAATGATAAATACCTTCGGAAGTGTACAGTATTTTGGGGGGTGATAAGGGAGCCACCCACTGGTGAAACTAATGGCTGTAGCATTCGAGTTACTTATGCTCTAGTGAAGAAAGCAAAAAAGAGTGTCATAATTTGGGTTGGCTTGGCCTTGAGGCCTCTTAGGGCCTTAGTAGCAAAGGATCGAGCTTGGGCAGCTGGCCTAGTTGTAGAGCGTTTGACCTTGAGGTTGGTGCCTGTAGTTTTCTGATTGGCTGGCATTCAAAGAGGTGTAGCAAACTTGGACTTGATTGAAATTAGCACTATATTTAAGGAGGGCCAGCCGAGTGAAGAAAACATAACAGTGGGAATAGAGGTGACAGAGGATTCTTGAAATTTGGACCCAAATAAATGCTTGAGATAGTGCCATAGCAAAGGTTTGTAAAACATATCCTTTTTTTCAATGAACTGTCATCAGCTAAATTGGTTCTGTTTGTGACCATAGCCAGCAATGCGCTTTTGAAGTTAAAATTGGACAATTTAAAATGCCTTGGAAAATATACTTCATTACTTTTTGTAAGGATTAAATTTGTTAATATAGGTACAGGTTTTAGAATAGTGCCTCACACAAAGTAAATGCCCAAAAGTGTTAGGTCTTATTATCACTCTTGCTCTCATGTATGCATCTGTACATGTATGAGTAATATTCAGATATATCTCATAAAAGTAAATACTTTCACAAATGCAGTTACCATAATAAAACAGGAAATTGATTTATGAGTTCTGGTATAACCATTAATGAAACACTTAACAAAGGAAAATAAAAAATATACAAGAATTTTCTTTTGCTTCATCTCTTAACTATTTTCTCCTGACTTTAAGTAAGTTTCCAGTAATAATCTTATAGAACTGATTTCTCTCTGTTTTGCTAAGAACCACAGACTTTAATGGTCCCAAATTGCTATTTGGTTTCAGGTGGACGATATCTCTCTCTCTCTGCCCCCCCTCCCCCTCTCCCCCTCTCTCCCCCTCTCACCCTCTCTCCTCCTCTCCCCTCTCTTCACCTAAAATCCCTTGTCTGGTTTCTCTTCCTAGAATAGGCTCTTTTTAGCGAGGTCTCTCATACCTGAACTTTTCCTGCAGACTGCTTTTTTCCTAAACTTCTGAACTTTTTCGAATGAGAATATGTTTCAGCGCACTGCTTCAGTGTTTACTAATCAGTCTCTCAGTCTGTTGACTATAATTAGCTTTAGTAACTGAAGTATTAATACTTGCGTTTATAGGAAGGGTAAAGTAGTCCAGTGGAGCCTGCCGGTGGTCGCTTTCCTGCTCACCCAGGCTGGCTCCCATTTCTTAGGATCCATGTTTCCTCAGCTCACTGGGGGTGAACACTGAATGGATAGCTTATCTCCAGTGGTGCATATAAGGCTCTTTTTACAAATGTTTGTGACATGCATTCGTAACAAACTGAACCAGTTTATCCCACTGTACAAATTTCTACTCAGAGCAAATGGTAAAATGAAGTGAAGCATTTCTGTTTTCCTAGGAGAGAAGATTTAGAGCTGTTTTGCATTTGGCTGGAATTGTGGAAGACGGAGGGTCCAGTTTAGGGTTACTGCCCACCTTTAATCTCAGAGTCAGAAGGAGTCACTTGATTGAGGACGTTCTGAGCCAGTTAAGTCAATTTGAGAATGAAGACCTGAGGATGGAATTAATGGTAAAGTATCACTCTCAGTAATTGGGTGCCCAGATAAGGAAAACACTAAGTAATGTAACAACTCGCCTCACAGAAGGGAAATGACCTCCCTTTGCCATCGAGGTGGTCTGCCTCACAGTTCCCCTAATTCCCCAGAGACCTGTGAGTTTCAGGTGATAGGTGTAGGCCCTTCATCAGGACACGCAGGCTAAGGGGCAGTAGGGAAATGGTTGCCCTCTCCCAACCTAGCCAGGTAGAAAGTCCAGTTCTAACCCTGAAAGGCCCAGTCCCTCCTGAGGACTGGCCTCGCCTGGCTAGTCACCACTTTTTAAGGGTTTTGGTGAGATGAGAATTGAGGGTTTGTTTCTGCTCACGTAGGACCCAAAGTTCTCTGTGGAAGAGGGAACTTTCTGTTTATTGACTGCATCGTTTTTGAGGGTATAATTGTAGATAATACCATGTTCTGAACATCTATAAATGATCTTTGGTTTAGTAACTATATAACTTGTCTTACTAGTGTATATATGTATATTATTTTTAATACTTTTTAATTGATTTTAGAAAGGAACGGAGAAGGAGCAAGAGAAACACCAATAATGAGAGAGAAACATTGATTAGCTGCCTCCTGCACACCCCCTACTGGGGACCGAGCCACAACCCCAGGCCTGTGCCTTTGACCGGAATCGAACCTGGGACCCTTCAGGCTGTAGGCTGATGCTCTATCCACTGAGCAAAACCTGCTAGGGCCACTCATCCATTTTTAAAATCTAGGTAACATTTGATGAGCAGTTACCATTTTCCAGACTCTGTGAGGCATTTTACAGGTTATTTAATCTTTCAGATAATCTGTGGGGAAAACAGCCTTTGTGAGATTAAGGAACTTGCCCACAGGGAGGGGCCGGTTTAACACCTAGTCTTATAAAGATTTTAAATATTTTACTGAGGCCGAAACAGGTTTGGCTCAGTGGATGGAGCGTTGGCCTGCGGACTGAAGGGTCATGGGTCCGATTCCGGGCAGGGGCGTGTGCCTGGGTTGCCGGCACATCCCCAGTGGGAGATGTGCAGGAGGCGGCTGATCGATGTTTCTCTCTCATTGATGTTTCTGACTCTCTGTCTCTCCCTTCCTCTCTGTAAAAAATCAATGAAATATATTTAAAAAAATATTTTACTGAGGTTTGAAACTTGCACCTCTATAAAATGGTAGCGATATTCATCCAAATAAACCAGTAAAAGGAGCTTTTAAGGAGAAAAATGAGAATTTGGGGAAAGAGCAGAGAGAAAGGAATTTCTGTATTAAAACAGCAGGAAAAAGAAAAATACAAACCTAAATAGTGCTGCATAAGAGAAAGCAAGGGAGAAAAGGATGTGGACAAAGAGAAGGTGGTCAGAGGAATGAAATGGGTTAGGAAACAAGGAGATGAGACATCAGGAAAAGTACTTGGAATTGAGGACTCCAGGTGCTTGGTCCTGTTGGAGAAAAGAATTTAAGAAGAGAAATGGGTTTGGAAGTTGATGACAGTATGCTCTGAAATTTGGCAGCCTAGAGTAGGAGGGGCCAATATTGTCTGTTTTGGAAACAGTGGTCTTGAGGTGTGTGTTTTCTTTAAGGATAAGGGAGAACTTAACACATTTGTAAACTGAAGTGAAAGATTCTAAAAAAGAAAGGCAAGAATGCAACGACTGAAGGAACAAAGACGGTGATGATAGAGTCATCTTGTGCGGGATTGCTCCTTAAGGAGCAAACAGCCAAGCCAATAAATACTTCACGTGTGCTCTGGCTTTCTTGATTTTTTTGAAAATCCTAATATTTCTGATTTCTTTGTGTTTTCCTGTTATTATACTTAGCCTACCTTATAACTGTAACAATGGTGCCAATTGAGGTCAATTTAGTGTTAAAAACTTTAGGCTCTGAGATGTCACAGGCATAGGATTAAACCTTGGCTGCACCATTGAGTATTTTATAATCTTGGGAAAGTTATTTAAATTCCTGAAGCCTCATAGAATTAATAGGATATTAAATATGGTAATACGAGTATGATGCTGACCACAGTGGCTGCCAAATACTTGGGCCCACAAAAATGCTAGCTCTCACTGCTAAACAGAGTGTAATACGTAGCAATACACAGCCTAAAAGTGATGCATTATTTGCTCTGCTTCCTCAGGTTTCATTTAGTGAAGAAACTGGATATGAACCTGGAGGCGTTAGGACAGAGTTTTTCTACTGTCTGTTTGAAGGGATGACTCGGCCAGAATATGGGATGTTCATGTATCCTAAAGAGGCTACCTACATGTGGTTCCCTGTTAAGGTAAGTCCCCTTTTCTTTGCTTATGGTGTTTCCTGACAGAAAAGGTATATCACATACCATAAATTAGATTGCCTAATTTGTTTTATACTAGGAGAAGAATTAATGATATAATTGTAGAGATAAAAGTTTAATTTGAAAAAGGTGATTATTGCCCTGGCCAAGTGGCTGGGTTGATTAGAGCATCATCCTGTACACCAGCAGTTCTCAACCTGTGAGTCGCGACCCCTTTGGGAGTCAAACAACCCTTTCACAGGCGTCGCCTAAGACCATTGGAAAACACATACATAATTACATATTGTTTTTGTGATTAATCACTATGCTTTAATTATGTAACAGTTATGAAGTAGCAACGAAAATAATTTTATGGTTGGGGATCACCACAACATGAGGAACTGTATTAAAGGGTCGTGGCATTAGGAAGGTTGAGAACCACTGCTGTACACCAAAAGGTGGCAGGTGACAATCCCCATTCAGGGCACACACCTTAGTTGCAGGTTTAATCCCTGGTTGGGCACATAATGGGAGGCAACGAATTGATGTTTCTCTTGTGCACCTGCTCGCTCTCTCCCCCTCCGTTTCTCTCTCCCTAAAATCAATAAAAACATATCCTCTGGGAAGGATAAAAATAAATCAGTACATATGTACATAGATGATTATTTTCTCTAAAACAGGGTCTACTTTCCCTGGATTCTCATGTCCACAGAGGAGAAATTAAGCAGTATGTGTTTTTGACCATGTATGAAATGTATGGATAAAATCAAATGCTTCTTTCTTAGGCACTCAGTCTTTGTCACAGTTCTATTTTTCCTGGTGAACTTGAAGACAAAGGCTATGAAAGTAAATTGTGAAAACTTTAGTTTATAAGGATTACTGAGCCTAATGTGCTACTATGCTTGTTCATGCTTTCATTTACTTATTTTTTATGGAAATGAGTGGTATATAACGTTGTGTAAATTAAACATTGTGGGGAGAACCGAAGATGGCGGCATAGGTTAACGCCGGAGATTGCCGCCTTGAACAACCAATTCAAATTAAGCTTGAACCAGGAAGTGGTATATAACATTGTGTAAATTAAACATTGTGCACATGTTGATTTGATATTTATATGCTGTAATGTGGTTGCCACTGAAGCAATAATTAGCACCTCTGTCACGTCACATAATTACTACTTCTTTTTAGTGGTTGGAATAATTAAGATCTAGTTTCATAGCACATTTGATTATTATAATCCAATATTGTTATCTGTATTCACTACTGTGCATTAGATCTCTAGGACTCACTACTCGGTGCAGTTTCTTCCCCCTAAATGACATCTCTCCTAGCCCCTCAACCCTCATTCTGTTAATGCTTTTAGTGACCAAAACTGTGACAGGGATTTAAATTGACTTAATGATTGAATATAAATCCTGAATATTCTTATCTCAAGATTTTTGGTTTTAATTTGTGATTTGATTTTGTGAAACAGGGGGACATGTTTATCTAATATAAAGATACCATTGTACTGGCAAAAATTCATAATATGTTAAAATGCTTTTTCTCTTCTCTGGGTCTCAGTGTGCGTTTCCTTCCTTCTAGTGGACTCACTAACAGTCAGCCAGGCTTCCTATGGTTCTGGATGAAGTCCGTATTGTTTCTCTGAGGTATTAATCAATTGTTGTGAGCGGCCTTAATTTCCCGGTGTTTATCTCTGCCGCCATCTTAGTTTCTCCCCTGAATATTCTTATCTCAAGATTTTTGGTTTTAATTTGTGATTTGATTTTGTGAAACAGGGGGACATGTTTATCTAATATAAAGATACCATTGTACTGGCAAAAATTCATAATATGTTAAAATGCTTTTTCTCTTTTCAGCCTAAATTTGAGAAAAAGAGATATTTCTTCTTTGGGATTCTGTGTGGACTTATTCTGTTCAACGGCAATGTTGCAAACATCCCTTTCCCACTGGCTCTGTTTAAGAAACTTTTGGACCAAACACCATCATTGGAAGACTTGAAAGAGCTCAGTCCTGTCTTGGGAAGGTAAGTAAACATGATTCTTTTTCAGAGTTCTACCTAACATATATTAGGACAAATATTTAAACACACCCTCTCAGTACTATTTTCATGTCCAATAGTAGCATTCTGAGTACTTGAAACCAATTTTAACTTTGGCAAGAATTGTTGGATTAATAATTTTTTTTATATTTTATTGATTTTTTTACAGAGAGGAAGGGAGAGAGATAGAGAGTTAGAAACATTGATGAGAGAGAAACATCGATCAGCTGCCTCCTGCACATCTCCCACTGGGGATGTGCCCGCAACCCAGGCACATGCCCCCGACCGGAATCGAACCCGGGACCCTCCAGTCTGCAGGCCGACGCTCTATCCACTGAGCCAAACCGGTCTTGGCTGGATTAATAATTTAACTTTCTAAAATTAACAACAGTTTTTTATATTAGTCCTCAGTGCTTGCATTAATCTTTGAGCTTTATTTGCATAGAAACAGTCATAGACAGAGTATAGGTTACAGTGATGTTTATTTTAAATACTGTTTCCATATTACTACCTTTAAAATGAAAACTTATATGTAAGTTAAAAGACAACCCACCATCTTGTAAAAAGTATTGGTAACATATAATAGGAAGGGTGCCGTAACCGGTTTGGCTCAGTGGATAGAGCGTCGGCCTGCGGACTGAGGGATAGAGTGTCTGCCTGTGGACTGAAAGGTCCCAGGTTCGATTCCGGTCAAGGGCATGTACCTTGGTTGCGGGCACATCCCAGTCAGGGGTGTGCAGGAGGAGGCAGCTGGTCGATGTTTCTCTCTCATCGATGTTTCTGACTCTCTCTCCCTCTCCCTTCCTCTCTGTAAAAAATCAATAAAATATATTTTTTAAAAAAATAGGAAGGGTGACTATCCCTACACTATAAAGTACTCCTACACGTTCATAAGAAAAATTGACAAAGTGTACAAGAAGGCAACTCACAGAAGAAGCAATAGAAATGGCACATAAATACAAACATGATCAATCTCACTAGTGATCATGGAATGCAGATTAAAATGAGAGACTATTATGTGCTTCAAAGTGACAGTGGATGGAAATACTGATCTGTATGGTGTTAGCAAGGGTTTGGTAAAAGATTAACTCCAATCTCAGGAATTGTTAGTGGATGTGCAAATTGGTAACTCCTTTTTCAGAGAACAATGTGGCATTGCTTATCTGAATCTAAAATGTGTTTGACGCTTTGACCCAACAGTTCTGTCTCTAGACATTTCATCCGAAACACATAACCATGCAAGGATTTCTGTATACCAGTGTAA